CACACACACACACACACACACACACACACACACACACACACAAATTACCAGTCCACCCATGCGGTCAAGGTAACACTTTTGTGTCAGGAAACATGATGTTAAAAAGATTGGATTTATTATCCAAGTCTATCACTCCATGTGTCAAAGCTTTGAGCAGAAATCAGTATTCATAATGAGTTGTAAACTCTCTGCTCTAAGACCTACCCCCTCCCTACTATCGCCCACAATACACAAGCTCCGCAATAAAATGAATCCAAGCTAACAGGGAACACCATTAAACTTTTCAGTACTTAAACGTTTTCTGACTTAACCGTGAAAATTCGGACAACACCGAGCCGTCCTGCTTGATTCAGACGCACAAGAACTTAATTAAGTTGACTTAAAGTCAGATGTAAACTACGCTGAGGTTGCCTTCACAATATTTCGTTGCAGTATCATTTAGCATGTAAGCAGCTATGTACATTTGTATCAACTGACCCCTCTGTTGATGCTGTCACAACAGCTACTTTCCCGTCTAGGCTGCGGCTCTTGGCTTCAGTTGAGCTCATTCTCAGAGTTCCCAAGGTTCCAGAAAATCTACTCACAAAGACCCGCAGTGACATTTCAGACGAATGTACAAAATTTTGAGGTAAATTCACCTACCCCTACTCTGAAAGGAACTCAAATCAAACTGCCGGAGATTCCCGACTAATTTCCTCCAATCGGAAGTAGGATGTTTGCAGCGGATGTTGACGCGAAGGTAAACGGATAAAAGTCGTAGCTACGGAGATGACCTCACTTTCACACGACCACTCCACAAAACAAACATCGATTTTACATTTCACGGGCTCGTGATCACAGTTGGACGCTGCAACCCCATTGCTACGTCCGACGTAGAGACTTCGAACTCTTGCCGAACCTTTGTGTCAAAAAAAGATCAGGTAAGACGCAGATATGTGTTCCCTGATTCTTATATTTAGTGCGTAACTACTTTTAAGCACTAGAATTGTGTTGATCTACATCTATTCAAGGAAATATTTTAGACAGTCTTCTGCAACCCCACCGCCAAAACTAAATTTTCGTTCAGAATCTGCTCAAGTTGGTGTCGAGAAAGGATTAGGATAATGTAGATTTGACCAAACATTGCTTGACTTCGTATTTGTTTGCTTTTGCAATATTGTATTCAGTGAAGAAAAATATCATGTAAAAAGTGAATTGCAATTGCAGAGTAAGCAGAAGATATACTGCCAGCTAGTTCGCGTGACCACCTTTTAATTTGATAGTAGAAGGCAGGTACGGTTACGCAATTCAAAGTTACAGACTTCGAGAATGATTCATCAACTCCACAAAAAGTAGATGATATCACTATCCGAGTGATACTATTCCCTCTTCATTCACGTTGTACATTTAACTACAGAGATTTTTTTTAACACTTTGTGCAGTATCGAGTTTGCCATGTCCAGATTCTGTAAGCTGTGATTTTTGTTTAATTACTGCTTAATGCTTTTTTTACTTGAATGAAGAGTGTATGGAACAACTTGTGTTCTCAAAATTTAGATCCCCTCTAGGTTGACGATTCTACGTATTGCTGGGTCATAAATAAAACGAAGTCAATAAATGGATAAAATGTGAGGCCAAGAGTGTTTTGTTTAGAAAGGTCTCTATAAGAATTTTCATTTATTGTCATATGAATAACGTTCATTTTGGCAAGGCTTAATTAGGTTTAAGGTTTGCATCTGTCTGGTTGAGAAGGTGTTATGAGTTTTCAAGACTAATAATAGAGAAAAGCAAAGCAAAACCCAAGTAACGTTGGGTTACAGCTGACACCTTACTACTAATTGTTCCTATCTTTAGATCAAGACAGGATGGCATCCGAGCTGCCTTCTCTAGCAGGAAAAGTATGCATTGTGACCGGAGCTTCCAGAGGAATTGGAAAAGGTATTGCTTTGATGTTGGCTAAGGCTGGAGCTACTGTTTACATCACAGGTAAGTTACAAAATAAGATTTTCAGTTTAAGAAAGGCATGTGCATGATTGATTCCCCCATAATTTTACTTTCTCTGTAAGTGAAACATAGACTTGGGGGGGGGGGGGTACTCTCTGACAAAGGAAGGTGACTGTTCAACCATGTATATATGGACTATTGAAGATACTCAATGATGTTACTTCCCTTGACTCTGTCAAACAATTTTGTCATCTGTTAGGAGAAATGGACAGACAATAAATTTTACACTGACACATCCTGGCTTTCTTGAATTTGCAGGCAGGACTCTTGATGCTGGGCAAGGCAAGCAAGGGTCATTGAGGCAAACAGCTGAAGAGGTAAATACAAAAAGAATACAGTGGCTTGAATTTCATTTCATTGTAAAGTTTTAGTTGCATTCATTACAGTAGGTAAGTAAAGGATATATGGCGATCAAATGGTCAATACATTGAACATTCATCAAGGTCATGAGAATAAACAGTGCTCGGCGACACCAATGGTAGCCGCCCACTAGCCACAGACTAAAGGAAATTCAGTTTTGGCCAGTGGTTTTCGATTTCTATCATCCTGTTCGGCTAGTAAACAAACTGAAATTGTGGTAGCATCTAAGATGTCACTCACCACTTGGCTAGTAATTAAGTTAAAAAGTTATGGTCAAGCCCTGATAAAGGAAACTACCACCAACCTTAAAAGCTTTGTTAAATGAATATTTATCGTTGTCAGTACCAAAGGAAATTCATTGAAAAGAGGGTAGAAAATATGGATACTGATCTCAGGGTGTAAATTAAGGGTTAATGCCAGATCATTATTTACTATAGATTGGTCAGGAGAGTGCTGGTTGCTGTATTCCTGTGAAATGTGACCATGGAAATGATGAAGAAGTAAAAAAATTGTTCGAAAAAGTCAGTCAAGAACAAAATGGGCGACTGGATGTTCTTGTGAACAATGCTTACAAGGGAGTTAAGGTGATGTATTTCAGTGATAAACAAGTTAGCCCACCACATGCTGTTGTCCACTTTAGAAATAAAAGATATTGGTGTCCATACTGAGGGATTAGAGAATTCTGTGCACATTACTATTTGAAGGGAGTTAGTTTACTGCATTTCCATAAACCACGCATATGGCTTTTTTGAAGTTGTGATAATCATGATAGGTTAATGAAAGCCCACCATCTGTACTTTTCCTGTATCCATACACATCTGTAATGCATTTTTGCATGTAACAGATCAAAACAGCAAACAGGGCCTGTCTCACACCTCCCTTGTTTAATGTGTCCCGCGAAATGTTACTATTTAAAGCTGGGAGTACTTTTAAAGAAACTGTATTGCAAGGTACTTAGAATTCACTAAATGCATATCCTTTACTTCTAGGCAATATTGGAGAGTGCTGGGCATCCATTTTATGAACAGGTCAGTTGTAGGAATACTTCTCCTTGTAAAGAGTCTGATATAAAACGGCTGGAAAGTCATCCTTCATTTACTTTTTTACATAGCAAATGGAAAGTTTGGCTCAGTCTCTTAACCCTTAGAACAGAGTGCACAGTCTTTAAAACATTGAGTGACTCCTTATCTTTGTCCTATATCTAGCCAGTGGAAATGTGGGATGAGGTCAACAATGTGGGCTTAAGGTAAATATTGATCTTAATTTTTTATAAGAAGCATTGTTAAGGTATATTTAGCCTGCAGTATGGAGGGTGAGCTCACTGATGTCACAACCTCACAATAATTTATTTGACCAGATATGTCTGATTTATAATTGGAGTGGATGATGAGGCGGGAGGGAGCAGGGGGCGGGGAAAGGCGAAAAGTCATTGCCCAACCCCCACCCCCCTCCTCCCTTTTTGCCATCGCTCACCCACTTGGTGGAAATCTGATTTTTGTCCTTGCCTTCTGCTTCTGTATAAATAAAGATGATAGCCATGATTTTCACCAAGAAAATACTGAGCTTTTGTTTGCCAAAAATACTCTTGCTCTTTAGGCTAAGGTATTTTAGCACTGCAATTGTGTTGTAGTTGGACAGAGCTGAACAGTGGGGGGGGGGGATAGGGTTGGAGTCTCCCGCTTCCCTTGCCACGCTCTCCTGCCTCCCGTACTTGTGTGCCCCCTTGCCTCCCAACTCCCGCCCTCTATTGTGTTGCTCCCATATTCAGGTTAATCAAGAGGATCAGAAACCCGGGTTTAACTTTCAAACAGAGCTAAAAGTTAATATTTCGGCTGACCTTTGTTTTGGCTAGGGATCATTAGTTCTCGATGAAAGCTGCTACTGGTCAGTTTTCTTACTAAACTAAGTTTCACCACAGGCAGCCCAAGCTCTCTTTGAGAACCACACAAGGAACACCATTTGCATGTCGATTTATAAGGATTTGTATGGGATTTTCTGCAAGATATCCATAGAGTTTTTTTTAATCCTGGTTTTCCTATCTCTGGATATCTTGTAGAAAATCCCATACAAATCCTTATCAATCGATATGCAAATTGTGTTCCTTGTGTGGTTCTCAAAGAGAGCTTGGGCCGCCTGTGGTTTCACTAACCGGGTTNCACAGCTACAACTTACCAGACACTGTACATGTCATGCTATCTCATGACCAATGACGTAATCAATTTGAAGGGATTCACAAATTTACCGGAAGTAATGCTGTTTTTCCAGCCCGGGTACAAATTTACGTTTTCTTGCCTCCGAAAATGTTTTTAAGCATTGGTAGATGTTAACTGGAAATTTCAAAACCTTGCTAGATAAGTGTTTATGACTGAGTAATACCCTGTAATAAACAACAAACTATCGCCTTATTTATTTCTGCTCCCGGTTCCCGCCCTCATGTAGATACCGCTTCCCGCCCCTTGTTCTCCCACTTCCCTCCCTCTCCCGCCCCTTGTTCTCCCAGGCTCCCGCCCCCCTGTCCCCCTCCTCTAAACAATGAAATGGTAGGTCAGAGGGGATGCGGTCAACAACGCGGGCTCAAGTGTCCTAGGTCTAAAATTTAGCGAAAATAGCAGAAAATAGATAAGGGCTGACTTTTAAAACCGAGGAACTCTGTTTTCGTCGAAGGCATTTTCCTATTTCCAGAGGTTTCGAGGAGAAAATTCATTTTCGAAAATTTTTAGAGGGTGTGCCAAGTTTTTGGAGGTTGTTCTGTTAAAGAAAAGCAGCAAGGAAAACGACGCCTCGAAGCAACAGAAAAGGAAATCAACCATGCGAACGGCCATAAATCCGTGTCTCCGCCGCAAAACCTAGCGCATGCGTATACGTTATTCAGCTCTGTCTTCTAGTTGCACTTGTCTATTGAATTTAATACTTGCTCAATTCATGAAATGAAACGACTGACTCGTTGCAAGACTGGCTGACCCACTGATTAACTGATTAATGAATGACTCTGTGACTTTGGGTATCTGCCAACTTACTGATCACGCCAACTACCCGACTGACCGACTGACTGACATACAATAAATTCTGCCAGAAGTCTGATGGACTTTTTGACCAACTTACTGCCAGACTAACTGCCTGATTCGCTGACTGGCAGACAAACAATAAATTGATACTGATAAACTGAATTACTGCCTGAGTTGCCAGATACGTAATACTTTATTTTTGACCTGTTTCTCATGTAAGGTCCAGCTATGTGGCGGCATGGCACGCATCCAAAATGATGGTTCCAGCAAAGCAGGGGCTTATTGTCAATGTGTCATCGGCGGGAGGCCTAAGATATCTCTTTAATGTTGCATATGGCGTCGGCAAAGCTGCAGTAAGTACCCTGTCAATTTCTTCCCTTACCCCCCTCCCCCTCTCCCCCTCCCTTGCACGGTATGTCTGTGCTTTTTCATTGTACGTTATGTATCGTACATTAAAAGTTATTTCAGTGGTTTCTGCCGGTTTCAGCAATTTTGCAGGAAACATCAGTCATTATTGCCCAAGTATGTACCTTCCACGTGTGATAAACAGACTAACAATTTTCTAAACCGTTTTGACATAACTATTCTTATTTCACCCAGACGGACAGAATGGCTGCAGATATGGCTGTGGAACTACGCAAACACAATGTGGCGTGTGTCTCTCTGTGGCCAGGAGCTGTCAAGACTGAGATTGTGACGGACTTGATTCTCAGCAAAGCTGATCAAGGAGGAAAGGTAATCTTTCGTTTAGAGTCTATGTTTAGGAGGAGTTGGGCGAGAAACAAGGCAGTTTTCAAATGTGACGATTGTTTTCCAAGATCGAATTGGTTTTCGCTCCACC